ATGTCCAACCATAATTAGGATATTGGAATTCTTGCAACTTGGTCCGTGGAAAACTCCATGGTCTTTGTGCAAAACATCTTGTGCCATCCCAGATTGTGCAAGACACGTTAGGCCACAGAGGTTTGTGTAAAATGTCTTGGGACATATAACGAACACCTGCTGGTTTAGCTCTGGTCAGCAACTTACTTCTGCAGGCCCCTTTCCGTTGGCCTCTCTGTGGTGTGTTCCTTGGCCAACTTGACACGACTCTGTGTCCTTCCCCAAGTAACAATTTCTCCATCAGCAGTTTGAGCTTCCAGCAGAAATGTCCATTTTGAAGGCAGGAGAGATGTTTTATGTAAAGTCCTTTCACATTCCTTGATGATTCTGTATGTGTTTTATAGCTCATCATGCTGCAATATAAAGTCATTTGACTCATTCATTACTGATAATGTTTAATACAATTAAATCAATAGTTAGACAAATTGCTCTACACGGCACTGTACCAGTAGCTGGGGAATTTCTACATTTCATTTGTAAATTAGTAGGATTGCATCATAAGTTTAAAAATACTAACAATTAAGAATAACAATGTAATCTGGTTTTGCTGATTAGGCTTTGTTGTTGTCTAGGCCTTATTACATTTTAGTTGAGTTCACCTTACAAATTTTCACTTCATATTGGCTTCGAATTTATCACCTTCTTCAATATAAATCAAATGCTTTGTTACCTTTGTTAGAATTAGTTAGACGTTATAGGTGGTGCAGGTAGCAACACCTAAAATTGAGGTTACTAGACACTTTTTTTCATTTGACTCTGTTTTCAATTATTTATAACTTTTCCAAATGTAAAGTATATAAAGTTCCTGGTGCCGTGAGGTGCAGATCGAATGTTGGGTGTTTTTTTTTTTTTTTTAGCAACAAGCATCTAAGCTCTGCTGAGGAAAACACAGCTGGGAATGTTATTTTTGTTAGTTCAGAATTTAACCAAATCTGAATGGATTTCCATGGATGCAGCAAAGGTACCTCCCTGGCATCAGGGCTGTTCACCTATCAAATTTCACATTTCTGCTGCAACCCATGGAGGCTTTAGAAGTTTTCAGAAAAGGAACTGGAAGAAGTTTAATGGAAAGAATTAGGCAACTGAACTCTAAGCTCAGAAATGGCCCTCTATATTATCCCTAGATTTTATTTACATTTTACCTGAAGCAATCTGGAGCACCAAGAACAACAAAGAGAAGGTAAAGGAACTTCATGGTAGAGGGTCATTGAGGATCTCAGGTCCCTAGAGGGAAGAGACATCAAGACAGAGAGGAGACAGAGAGTCACTGTATTTAGGGCACTGAGAATTGTGATATACTGAATTGTAGACATCTTTTTTTGCTCCAAGTGGTATTTAAAATACACGTGCTGTGATTAATAATAATGAATGTTATCCACACTGCACCAGAGTATGTTACAGAAATGTAATTGACAAGTCCCTGCTGCCTTGAAGAAGTTACATTAAGTAAATTTAGACCTGGCGAATAGCTACTGCCTGGTCCAAAGCCCCATGAGGTCAATGGAAATACCCTCCATTGGCATCAGCAGGATTTGGAGAGTCCCCTAGTTCAGATTGTTTCTCTTGTTCTGTTCCTTAGAAATCCATTTCTTTTACCTTTTTCAAAATAGGAAATAAAATAACATACCACCCTAAAAAGTCCCTATTGTGGGTTAGTGCCCCATATGGGTGCTTATATAGACCATGGTCCACGCATCTCTGTATAAAGCAACAGAGAGTCCTGTGGCACCTTTAAGACTAACAGAAGTATTGGAGCATAAGCTTTCGTGGGTGAATAACCACTTTGTCAGACGCATGTCATTGGTCATTGAGGATCTGAGGTCCCTAGAGGGAAGAGACATCAAGACAGTGCTGCAGTTAAATGACAACACTTCGTCAGACGCAGTTCTTAGTGACTTCAGCTCTTTGTGATTTCACAGGGTAGTGGAAATCTCTCTGCTGCTGCTTATTCTGTGTTGTCATTTAACTGCAGCACTGTCTCCACACCAGGACACTGCCCCCTTAGATCAGATTATCATTGATATCAGCTCTAGTGATCTGAGAAAGAACCAGGACTCTCAATTGAGTCTAGTCACTTCTGTCTTTAAAAATTGGATGGGGAGGGTCAAATGGCTCCTAGAATCCTTTAAACTCTTAGGAACAAAGAAAGTGTGCCCTACTTACAGGATGGGGGACTCTATCCTGGTAAGGAGTGATTCTGAAAAAGACTTGGGGGTGGTGGCCAATAATCAGCTGAACATAAACTTCCAGTGTGAAGCTGTGGCCAAAAGAGCTAATGCAATCCTGGGATGCATAAACAGGGGAATCTCGAGTAGAAGTGGAGAGATTATTTGACTTCTGTATTTTGCACTGGCTGAATACTGTGTCTAGTCCTGGAGTCCATAGTTCCAAGAGGATGTTGATTACATTGGAGAGGTTTCTGAGAAGCGCCACAAGACTGATTAAAGGATTAGAAAACATGCCTTTTAGTGACAGACTCAAAGGATATGTCTACACAGCAATTAAAGACCCTTGGCTGGCTTGGGTCACCTGACTTGGGCTCACGAGGCTTGGACTGTGGGGTTTAAAATTGCAGTGTAGTTGTTTGCACTCAGGCAGGAGCCTGGACTCTGGGACCCTGTCCTCTCATGTGTGTATTACTAGGTACAAAAATGCTAGGCCTGGGTACCCATGAACACTTCTGCTCCAGCAGAGTTCTGGTGGCTACAGCAACAGGAGACAGGGAAGCGCACTAAAGCACAAGTGTCCCTAAGGCTATGTCTACTGGAAGTAGAGGTGGAATTTTGACTAGCCATCCTGAGAATGCATCCAAATTTCAGATGGGATCATACTGGGAGCGGTTAGCTAGTTCCACCATTTGCTCTGCCATGGTTACACTTCTGTTTCTGTTGCACCAGCTCACGCTTGTACAGGTATGTGTACATGAGCTGCAAATGACACCTCCACCTCCAGTGTAGACATGCCCTTAGAGGATGTGAGAGCTGATAAACTCTGTACAGCTGGAAAAGGGAGAGGTCAAGGGCTCAAAATCCATGATCTAATTACACTTCTAAAGTGTCTTTCACTGGCACTCCTGGCTCTCAACCACTAGATGACAGCCCCAGCAGAAAGATGCTCATTCTAATTGAGCATCAGCCTTGAAATAGGAACCTGCTGTTTCTCAGCTGAGCCTGTTGGACTTTTGTGACATATAACTAGGGTGACCACACATCCCAATATTATCAGGACCATCCTGATATTAGGAGCTTTGTCTTATATAGACAAAAACCTTCCTTCCCCCACCCTCCAAAAAAGTGTCCTGATTTTTCACACTTGCTGTCAGGGTTCCTTACCCACTCTGAATTCTAGGGTACAGATGTGGAGACTCGCATGAAAGACCCCCTAAGCTTATTTCTACCAGCTTAGGTTAAAAACTCCCCAAGGCACAGATCCTTCCTTGTACCATGGATTAAGTAACGCTGCCACCACCAAGTGATTTAAACAAACATTTAGGGAGGGCCACTTGGAGCCCTACCTTCCCCAAATATCCCCCCAACCCCCTACACCCCTTTTCCTGGACAGGCTTGAGAATAATCCCCCAAAACGCCTACATCCCCTTTCCTGGGGAGGCTTGAGAATATATCCTCACCAATTGGTACAGGTGAACACAGACCCAAACCCTTGGATCTTAAACAATGAAAAATGAATCAGGTTCTTAAAAGAAGAATTTTAATTAAAGAAAAGGTAAAAGAATCACCTCTGTAAAATCGGGATGGTGAGTACTTTACAGAATAACAAAAGACTCAAGAACACAGAGGATCTCCCCTCTAGGCAAAACCAGTTAAAAAAAGTTACAAAACCAGGGATAAACCTCCCTCCTCCTACAAAGGAAATCACAAGCCAAAATAAAAGTAAATCTAATGCATTTCCTTGCTAAATACTTACTAACTCTATAGGAGTTGGATTGCTTGCTTCTTTGATCTTGCTCCGGCCAAAGCTGCATGGAACAGACAGAACAAAATCCCCTCCCCCCTCCAGATTTGAAAGTATCTTGTCCCCTTATTGGTCCTTTGGGTCAGGTGCCAGCCAGGTACTTGAGCTTCTTAACCCTTTACAGGTAAAAGAGGAATTAACCCTTTACAGGGTAAAGAGGGATTTTATGCTACCCTTAGCTGTATGTTTATGATACTTGCTATCTGGTGACCCTACATATAATGGAGAGAATCAAGAAAAGTCAGCCTCTGCCTAAGGGCAGGTCTACACTCCGGCAGGGATCAACACTCTGAGATTGATCCACTGGCGGTTGATTTAGCGGGTCTAGTAAAGACCTGCCAAATCAACTGCAGATCGCTCTCCAGTCGATCCCTGTACTCTACCCCTGACGAGAAGAGTAAGGTAAGTTGACGGGAGATTTTCTCCCATTGACCCCCCGTGGTGAAGACCCCGTGGTAAATTGACCTAAGGTACATCGACTCCAGCTACGTTATTCATGTAGCTGGAGTTGCGTAGTGTAGGTCGACTTACCACGGTAGTGTAGACATAGCCTCAGTGTAACAGGGAGCAGAATCAGGGCTCAGAGCTTAAAACATCTTGGTCTGATTTCCTCTGTTCTCCTCATTGTGGACAATGAGGTTTCAAAGTAGAGGGAAGGTCTAGGTGCAATGGAGCACCATGGTGAGGGTTACACACCGTACAGTCAAGCTGGGACTGACCCAGCTCCTGTGACACCACAAACCGATAGGATTTTAATTACTGTAAGAGATAAAGATCTACCCACAGGAGCTCATTGATACCTACAGAGATGTGTGGACCATGGCCTATAAATACCCTTGCGTGGTATTAACATATGATAGGGACTTTTTTAGAGTATTTCATTTTATTTTTAATTTTAAAAAAGATAAACAAACTAGATTTCATAAGGAGAAGAATGATAGAAACAGCCCCCTTGACTCCCAGAAACACACACACACACACTTCAGTAATATGATCTTAAACCAGCTTGCTTTTATTAAAAGAAGAGTAACAAATATTATATGGTGATACAAGAGCTTCTTTCTGGAATTTCTCCAGCTCACAAGGTTATTTATAGCCCAAATAAGCAGCACTTCAGGGTTCCATTGAACCAGGGTCTGATGATTTTAGAAGCCAGTGGATCTCTGCCAGATTCCCAGAGATCCTGCCTAGACAATCAGTAGATAAATTCCCTGTACAAAGGAAAGAGAATCAGATTTTTTGATGTTGTCCCATAGAACAGGGCTAATATGATGTTTGATTTCAAATCAAAGGCACAGGAGGAATTGCCCAGTCACTGAATGGTGAGTGAAGAGATTCCTGGTTAACCTGAGCACAATGAATCCATTGTAGCTACTGCAACATTCAGTCAGAGAGATTTCATGGGGATAGCTATAAGTATCTAAATGGATGAAATCACTGTCTATAACAAGCATACGTCAGAAAAGCATGACACATCCATGTATGCTTGTTCTATCAAACACACCTTGTCTACAACTGAAGGTAAAATGAAACTTATTTAGGTGATAGATCACTAACTCTGAAGGAATGCAGGGGAACTCTAATTCTGCCTGAAGCCTGACTCGGATCTGGTGGCAGTTCCATGCTAGCAGCCCTGCCTGGTGATAGCACAGATCTCTGGGCATGCTCAGTGAATTGGCCAGGAGAGCAGCCCTGCAGTTGGCAGCAAGGCCACTCCAGCCCAGATCCCTGGTTCCCGCCCTGCAGGCCCAAGTAGCTCCCAGCATCAAATCTCCTTCCCCAAGTGGCCTCTCAGGTGTTTTAGTGGGCGGGAAAGTCTCTCACCCTCCTAACTGTTTCTCTAGGACCTGTTCCTGCTGCAACATTAATGTGACCAGCTGAGTGGCCTGTATAATTTATGGCACCTCCAGTCACAAAGAACAGGAATAGGATGGGCTGCAGATTTGCAATGTGGCCGAGTTAACTTCACAGAGGGACCTTCACGCTTAAACCATTCACATTCACTCAGAACAATGTTCACACTGACATCACCAAGACTTTTATAATGACCTCCCTTGGTTTTCAAAAGGGGGAAAATAAAGGGCTAAGAGCTGAGCTGCTTTAAAGATGGAAGGATTCGTCAGGTGTTAAATGGAAAGAGAGTAATGAACATTCCCGCTCACACTGCAGGGTCTCTTACCTTTGACAGCAAGAGCCAATCCAGCATTTTCCAAGGTACACAGAATTAGAGGGACATCCCCTAAGGTAACAGGAACCACCACGGCGTTTACATTTCTTTGGAGAATATCTAGCCTGGGAGAATCCTAAGAAAGAAAGAGTCTTAATTATCATTCTGCAGAGCAGGGGAAATTACAGTTGTGATTCCAGGATGCCAGGCATTTCCCATTCACTAAGATCTGGCCAAGTCAGCCCAACTATCTTCCAGTATGAAAGTTTATCACAGTTTTAGTACTATTTCCATGGTTGCAGTTCTACCCAAGTTCAATGGCAGCCTGAAAGAAGAGAATTAAACAGGGACACTGACTCTCCAGCTGCAGTTTAGAACCATAGCTCTGAGCACAGGCATCTTTCACTGCTCCGTGCCTTTAAGGGACGGAACTGGTTTTGTGGCGGGGGTGAGGTTTTGATTCTCTCGGGCTCTGACAGTGATGGGCCAGGCAGTACCATCAATGCAATTTGGCTAAGTAGGGTGAACTGGCATAGGACTGGGTTGGGTGACTACAACTTATCAAAAGAGAAGGGCTTGAAAAAGTCCCTTCTGGTTTGAAATCCTGCCTGTCTCAGAGATTCTGTTCAGATTTTCTTCGGAAGGTTCACTCAAGAATAGTTTCCTCATGAGCAATTGCCAGTTTTTGATTATACCTGAGGAGAGCCTTATTTTAAAAATAAAGCTCAAATGTGCACAGCCAAATCTTGTTGATTAGTTTAGAACATTTGTTGTGCTTTCACAAAACTATCTACAGTTAACAGATAGAAACTGACCCCCTAAATGATTCATTGTCATGTCTGCAAACATTGTGCACTGACATCATTTCTCTAAAAAAGCCAAACCCCTTGTTGTGCAAGGTTTTGAGACACAGTGGGGCTAAGACACAGAGATGAGAGGCTGCCATTTTAGAGATCTGGGTTTTGTTCCTAGCTGTATAACCTCTCAGTGGTACGTGGCCTCACTTTATAATGTCAGGTTGTGAAGGGCACAGAATTTTTAACACTAATAAGCAGCAGAAATTACAATTTAAGTCATGGTCTCCTGGCTCCTAGCCCTATGCACCATCTCCCAAACCCAAGGGTAGATTGAAAGTGGTTGGCTAGACTTCATTTATCAGTATCGCATCCAGACGTTCAGTTCTGTAATTGCCTGTTACAAGAACAGTACGTGCTGGGCAGATAGAATGTGGGGTGGCTTATGCAGCAAGCCTCAGTAAATTCTGAGGAAAACACTGAGGGGACGTGGATTTTGTTTTGACTGGTCATAATTCAGTCAAATCTCAATGGTTTTTCTTGGGGGCAGGTGCTAGAAATCATAAGAAAAAGTTAGAATAATTTTTCTAGTAGAAAGTGTTAGACAACCTGAGTAATGGCTCCCAGATATCCCTTTATATCATCGCTTGTTTTCATTGACATCTTACCTGGGGCAGTCAGGAGCACCAAGAAGACAACAGCAGAGAGCAGGTAAAGGATCTTCATGGCTGGAGGTTGGCCAGGAACTCTGTCAATGGAGAGAAAAGACACCAAGATAGAGAGGTGTGTTCTTCTTCCCTTTCTGGATCTCACAGCTATCTCCCTAGACAGGACTTTCAAGGAAAAATTAATGGGGTGATTATCAGAGAAGCGACTATAATAGTTACCAGACAGGGGGCGCTCCCAGTAGCCAGGTGTTGACAGTTCTGTTCACCGTCTCTCTCGTCCAGATATTTTAGCTTCAGGGAGTGATGCTTTGACTAAAACTGCCTGTTTTATACAGTTTCCGAGGGCTTAGTTTCTTCTTGGCAAAGCTGCTGTTGGCCAATCAGAAGGTGACCCCTGCTTCTGGGGAAGATTTGAAATGACCAACCACAATTTGGACGTTGGAATTCTTGCAGCTCTATCTGTGGAAAATTCCATGGTCTTTGTGCAAAACAGCTTGTGCCATCCCAGATTGTGTAAGACACGTTAGGCCACTGTGGTTTGTGCAAAACGTCTTGGGGCATATAACGAACACCTGCTGTTTTAGCTCTGATCAGCAACTTGCTTCTGCAGGCCACTTCCCAGGGGCCTCCCTGTGGTGTGGTGCTTGGCCAACTTGACATGACTCCATGTGAAACAATACTAGTCAAAAGTACAAACACAAATTGTTGATGTGCCAAGTCTGGTGAAGCCAATGGTGCCTGCTGGTGCTAAACACCTCTCAGGGTTCATCAATTGATCTGAATCTATTTCTTGTACGTGCTAAAAATCCTTTTCATTTCTTGGTTTCAAGAGGAGTTGGTTCTGGCACAGCTTGTCTGTATGGTCTAGGACCTCCCATGTCATTGCTCCATGGGATTGTGTTCATGGCACAGAAATGGAGAAGTGAGATTAAAAAAACATAAAATACTTTGGCTGGAAGGTTGCAACGTACCCCTATTTCATTTCTTAGAATTCAGAACGATAACACACAAGAACCCCAAAACTGAGAGAGAGAAAGCAAGCTGTTTCCAAAAACAGAGGGGTCAACTCACCCCACCTTACTGTGAGCTGGTTCTCTGCAGACTGATGGATGAGGACACAGATTGCACGCTTCCTTCCAAGCCTGCCAGCCTGAAAGCAGGATCAGGATATGTCAGACAAACTTTAAGTACAGCTTGTAATTTTAACCCAGTTTTCAAGACACCATACATGGCAGCCAGATTTCCAGTCTCATTACTGTAAGGAAGAACTACAGGAAAACACCGGGGATTTGACACATAAGAACCCCAAACAGAGAGAGACAAAGCAGGCTGCTCCCTAAAAAAGAGGGGGCAACGCATCCCACCTCATTCTAGGCAGGCTATCTGCAGACTGAGTGCTAAACACACAGCTTGCACACTTCCCTCCAAAACCCCTAGCCTGCAAGCAGCAGCAGGATACCTCATACAAACTTCATTAGATAGCTTGTAATTTTAACCCAGTTTTAAATACACCACACGTGGCAGGTAGATTTCATTACTGTAATGAAGAACTACAGGAAAACACCACGGGGCGTCTGTGCTGGGCCCTCTGTGCTGTATGCCAGGCCCTGCTCAGGGCAGCTCAGACTGCCCCTCTCCATGCTGCCAGTGGCTTCACTGCCACCACCTCTGCCACACAGCCCTTCCCATTAACTTCCGTACGGGTCTCTGCACCGCTCTGAGGGAGTCATTCTCTGTACAGTGGCTACATCCATGTTGCCCTTCAGCAACGTATGAACAGTTATTATGGTTATTTTGCTATTTTACCACCATTTGTAACCTCTCTGTATAGAGTGGGTGCATAAAATCGGAAAATAAACTAAATACACTAGATATTGGTTAATGGTGTATAAAAGATACACTACCTACACACACACAGTCTGATGAGAAGCCACTTCTCCGGGGAGCTGTTTTCTGAATTCCTCTGTGCACCACAGGCCTTTTCCAAAGCCCACTGAAGACAATGGGACTCTTTCCCTTCACTTCAGTCAGTTTTGTACCAGACTGATGATGTTTAATGGGTGTAGATGTTCAGGCTGCAATCCTGGCTCCAGGGAAGTCATTGACAAATCTCCCATTGACTTCCATGGGGCCAACATATCACCCTAGATTGTAACTTCCTCCCGGCAAGGATTTATCAACTATAATGATGACACAGAAAATATGGAATTTATTATTATTAATTATGTCATAGATATCCAGGCATAGGCCAGAATCCTTCTAACAGCTTGGGCCAAACATCTTAATACATCTCAGCTAGCTGTGGTTCATAGAGGATTTGGATTGTGTAAGCAACAGTCACTGACTAAGCTAACCACAAAGTCACCCTAAATTGTGAAGTAACTTCCTCTTTTATCAGTTTCTTTTACATTATAAGCTTTATTCCTAGAATTTCATAATAGAGACATAGTAGATCAAGCACTTACCTGATATGGCAGTATAATGGATAACTTTATAAACTATGTAGAAAATTAAAATCTAGCTTGAGCTTTCTGACACAGAGCTCTGGAGACTGAGGAAGTTTCATTGCCAAGGTGATCTCACTAAAAAGAATATTGCAAGCATTTTAGACGATGCTTTAAATAGAAATCATGGGAAAGATTCCAATGGGAAGAGGTCCGCAGAAGCACACTGCTGAATAGACCTAAACCAGTAGGTGTTCGGTGTGTGTCACAACACATTTTGCACAAACCGCTGCAGCCTAATGTGTCTTACACAAATGGGGATAACACGTGATGTCTTGAACAAAGACCATGGAATTATGCAGAAGGAAAATTGGAAGAACTCATAAGAGATGTCTTATGTTGTCACTGGATGATGAGAAAGGACAACTTGTGTTCTGGCAGGACATTTCCAATCTTTGCCAGAAGCACGGGTCACTTTCTGATTGGTCCAGAGCAACTTTGACAAGAAGAGAAGGCAAGCCATGCCACCCTTCAGAAACTGTATAGACAGGCTGTTTGGATGGAAATGTTGCTTCTAAAAACTAAAATTTCTGCATGAAAGAGACAGAAAGCACCTGATGTCACTTGGCCACTGAGAGCACCCCCCATCTGGTAACAGCTCAAGTCGCATAAGTGCAAAATCCAGAAAGAGCACACAAATGTCATAACCCTCTAAGTGAATGAACTACTGAATGAACATTCTATCTATATCAAGAAACCAGTCGGGGCTACTGTGAGGCTGAGCTGGAGAATATGCTTTCATGCCACTTTCAATAGATAAGTGGCCAAAATACATGTATTTTGTTTCCCAAATGAAAACTTGGTTAGTTTAAAGCTTCTCTGAAAGTATGTACCTGAATTACAACCATATAAATGACTAAAATGTGTGATATATACTTGCATTTCACTCAAAAATTGAATTAGAAACTGCAGTAACTCAATCTATGATAAAGATTGCTGAAGTCTAGAAATATCTGTAACAGGAAACTGCACTTCCCAACAACAAAAGAGAGCTGAGAAAAAACCTGCATGTTTCAGAGTTTAGCCCAGAAATCGTACAGATGCTGTGGTCAAGAGAAATGGAGAGATTCTGGCAGAAGAAGGGGACGAAACTCTCAATTGGCTTGTAAGCTAAAGATCTTTACCACCATTTCATTATATAGTGAAATTTGCCTAAAAGCAGACAGTACTGTTGAAAAATAAAGAGAAGCTGGAATAGTTTAAATCATTCTTTGTATACTATGTTTGGGAATTAATCTATGATAATGATTTGATCACTAAGATTGCTGACATAACAAGACTGTGATAAGACTTTGAATGGATGGATTTTATTAATTATTTCTTAGGAAATTGTTACTTCGCCTGATAAATTTGTTGTTCTAAATTTCATATACCTGAGCATCGAACCACCTTTGTTTTCCTTCCTGTAATTTCTTAATTGCTTTCAATTCTATTTTGGCTAATAAAAGTAATGTGTGTGCAATAATTCTCCAGTCTGTTCTGTGACTGAGGAACAGAGAAACACAAAGAAGGGAGGGATAGCTCAGTGGTTTGAGCTATTGGCCTGCTTAAACCCAGGGTTATGAGTTCAATCTTTGAGGGGGCCACTTAGGGATCTGGGGCAGAAATCAGTACTTGGTCCTGCTAGTGAAGGCAGGGGGCTGGACTCGATGACCCTTCAGGGTCCCTTCCAGCTCTATGAGATAGGTATATCTCCATGTGTCAGAACTCTGTTTACTTTTCAGAGGGAACCATTGAATGTGTAGAGAACTACAGCCATGTAAAACAGTTCTCTAGCTGTGATAACTTTGTGCCCTGCAAGGTAATTGGGCTGATGTGGCAGGGTCTCAGTGAATGGGCAATTCAGTGCATGGGAAATGCCCTTCGTGATGGAATCACAACTCCCTTTTACTCTGCCCAGCTGAATGATAATTCAGGTTTTCTTTGTGCAGGATTCTCCTGGACTCATGACAACAGAGCACAATGTATATGCTTTGAGGGTACCTGCTACACTAGGCTGTCCCCTGAATAATATACAATCTGGAAGAAGCTTTCTAGCGGATGTTGGCTGTTTCAAGTAAGCTCAGCATTCCACACGGGAGACATTGCAGTGCGAACAGAAATATTTCCTCCTCTTCTTCTTGCACCCAAGCTGTTGTTTAATGCTCTTGGAAGCTCAGCACACATGGCCCAGCCCAGGAACAGGCAGGAAAAGAGGCTTTTAGCTACTTCTGTGCTTCTCAGATCCTGGGGAGCCCCAGCATATATTAGAACCACCCAAGTGGCTGCTCTTCCTTAACAGCAGCTTTACCTTAGGCTGCCTGTGGGTAAATCCACAGCCGGTAGCAGTGCAAAACTTCAATAGTGCTCAGACCTCCAGGGATTGCCTCTTAGGTTGTGTCTGTATTGCAATCAAACCCTGTAGCAGGCCCATGCCAGTGGACTCAGGCTTGGGCTGAGGGGCTGTTTAATTGTAGTGTAGACATTGAGGCAGGGGGCTGGAGCCTGGGCTCTAGGACCCTTCAAGGTGGGAGGGTCCCAGAGTTCGGGCTTCAGCCTGAGCCCAGAAGTCTACACCACAATTAAACAGGCCCTTAACCTGAGCCCTAGAGGCCCGAGTCAATGACATGGGCCAGCCATGGTTGTCTCATTGCAGTGTCGACATACCCTTAGACATATCAGCCCACAGCAATTTCTCTAGTACCACCCCAAGCCAGTGCCGGCCTCAGAGAAAATGGAGACCAGTTCTGGTAGTTGTATCCTCCTCATGTGGGAGAATTCTTCCCCAGCCCCTTGTGTGGAATCTCCC